CCCCCCAAATCCTTATTTTATAGCTGGCTGCTGAGGCTTCCGTGTCTGGGTGAGTCCCAAGAACAAACTCTTACTTTTACCTGAATCCTTATTATTCTTCCTCTTCCAGTCACACCTTAAAGAGAAAAGAACTTTCTGAACGTTCAACTGGTAAAGTTCAGTGGACTCAGCACTTTCTATTGAAGCACAAGGCCAACACTTTTAGCCCACCTTTAAAATCAATAAATAATAAGATGCTATGCAAACAGCATGCTGATTAAGGTCTTCTAAATATATTATGTAATATAATGCTTTTACTCACTCAGGATTGTTACTCCTCTCCCCTTTAAAAACAAAGTAAAAAAGGCTTAATGAGGTGACGTAGCTTGCATGAAGTCACAGTGAATGCCTTCTGTTACTAGTGCCAAACTGCCATTATTCCCTAGGACATATTTGGACATGTGTGAGGTTCATATACATTTTCAAGTTCAGGCTTTGAGCAGGACTGTCAACAGTGTGCCTGATGCTGTCCAACATCTTACAACTTCAGGTAAAATAAACTAAAATAAAAATACAAGTAAATGCCATAATAACAGTAAAATATATTTTAAAACAAAACACTATATTCCTTTTGACTCATATCTTTATTCAGGAAGAGTGTACCCTATTCCTATACACAATGTCCCAGCATCAGAATCATCTTCCTTTTGCTTTCCACCATCCGGCCACAACCAAACCAACACTGTCTTTATTAGTTTGGGAATGAAATTTGGAATGCAGCTCTTGATCCCATTGGGAATGTTTGCTCACGAAGGAGCTCAGAGTCCATGATGCCACCCAAAGAACAGGAGAAATATTTTATAAATCATATATTTGAAAAATAACTTGAATGTAGAATCAATTAATAACATTAATAACATTTACAACTCAATTTTAAAACTGCAGACACCAATTTCAAATTATCAAAGGGTCAGAGTATATGTATAAGGAACATATATAAATGTGCACATGAAAAAGTGTTTAACATAATTAGCCATCAGGAAAATGCAAATCAAAATCATGATGAGAAGCACTTCATATCCACGATTAGTCAGCTCTCCATTACTTACAAATACCTCAGATAGAAAGCTTACAAAGAGAAAAGGTGTATTTCAGCTCAGTTTTAGAGATTTTACTACACAATTGTTTGGTCCCATTGCTTTTGGGCTCACACAAGGTAGCACGTGGCAACACCTTCCACCACATAGGCATGTTGAAGAAGAAACCAGAATGCCACAGTGGAGGATTCCCCCTGACCTAAAACTTTCCACAAGACCCTACCACTTAAGAGCTCTACTAACTCCCAGCAGTGCGATGGGCTGGGACCAAGCCTTTGACACACAGGTTCTTAAGTCATTTATCCAAATGATAGCAACTAGAACAGCTGTTATAAAAAAGTATAACAGAGAATAAGAGAATAAGAAGTGTAGGTGAAAAATTGGAATCCTCATTCACAGCTGATAGAAAGGCTAAACGGAGTAGCAAACAGAGTGAAAGTTCCTCCAAAGAAAGTTAAATATGAAGTTACCTTATGAACTAGCAACTATGTTCTTAGGTACATACTCAGGAGAAATGAAAATCAAGTGCACACAGAAAATGTATAGGAATGTCTATGGTACCATTATAGTACTATATTTAACACTGCCAAAAAAGTGAAAACAACTCAAATATCCATAAATTCAATGAATAAATAAAAGTGGTATATCAAAATATTATTAATCAATAAAAAGGAATAAAGTATAGATGTATACTACACCATGGATAAAACCTACAAGCATTTTCAGGTAAAAGAACCCAGTCACAAAAGACCACCATATTGTATGATTCCATTTATATGGAATGTCCAAAACAGTTAAATCTATAGAGATTGAAAGTAAATCTTGGTTGCTTATGGCTGGGACAGGGATGAGGACATGAGGAAATGGTGAGTGAGTACTAAGGTGGGTATGAGGATTCTCCTTATAATGGTGGGTATAAGGATTCTCTTAGAAGTGATCAGTTTTCTAACATTGATTATGATGATTGCGAAGCTGTGAATATACTAAAATACGCCACATTGTACTACTAAATATGCAGCTGCATTATACAGTACTTGAATTATGTCTCAACAAAGCTGTCATTGTTTGCAAATATCATGCTTCCCAGGCAGCTGGAGTTTATTCCGCTGGACTGGGAAGTAGACTGTGTCATGGAGAAAATGTTGTTATTAAAAGTAAAAAGCACAAATTTCAGAATCACCTGCTGACATCAGGCCAACACTGGATGTATGTATTTTTAGCCATCTGGCCTTGGACAACTCTAATTCTCGAATTTGTCATATGTAGGATTTTTGGGACAATAGATTTTTATTTGACTAGATTAGATGGTGGAGATAGTGTTCATTATAGTACTCAACATCTTATGAATACTCAGCAGTAAGGTGTTGACCTCATTATCTTCATCTTTCATACATCCACCTACTCTCAGACATATTTGTCAGTGCGGTCTCTGTGTGATCTGGGAGAGTTTCTTTGAAAAGTGATTTATCTTGGAATACATTATCACTTCACATTTTTTCTTCTTTCCTCTACCCAATCAGAATAGGACTTGGAATTTCACATATTTTTATTTTCACTGATATTTTTGAAAGGGTAAACAGTTGTCTCATTTTAGGGATGTATATTATTTAGTGGTGATAGGATGTTCTGAGCCCAGATTACCAGGCTTTGGAGCTCATGATATTAGACATGGTAATTTTTCAGCCATTACAGAGGAGCCTACTTCTGTCCTATTAAAGAAATAAATTGTTTAGTGTGTCCAATATTCTGTCTTCCACTCTGGACAAGACAGATGCTTCACAGAAGGCAATAAAAAACCATAAATATACCTAACTGCACATTCTTTTAACATGGGAGACATACTGCCATCCCAACCCCAGCTGGTGCCTGCTCTGAATATTCAGCATTCATATCCTCAAAAATTGGCCTATAGATTTAACTAATTAACTCCTCTTTTACTAAGGAATTTTTTACCACAAGGAGGATGGGAAGTCTGGTTGTCTGCTGCCTGTACCATCTATAAGCTCCTGTGTGAACCTACTATTGTCACTTAGTGCCTCTTTGACATTATGCTTAATGGGCATTTGAAACCCCTACACAATCAGTCATTGATTGAAGATCAATTGTATGCCAAGAAGGGTTCTAGATACTAAATATGAAGAGATGAATTTGGCTCCTTTATGAGAGAAGTTATATGCTCGACAGAATATGTTTATTCCCTTATATTTATGGTTACCTAAGTATGTATTGGTCTCCTTCAAGACATAGGAATAGCTATATATAACAGTAATGTAAGGTTCAGATATTTAAATGGCACAGAAGAAGAATGCAGAAAGGTGATTTTTAGAGGTTATTACACATACTTCCACTTACTTTTAATTGGAAAGAATTTGGTTTCATGGCCTGGCCCAGTGATGAGGAAAGAAGATATGTGTACTCATTTAATGGAGTAACAATGTACCCAGATATGAATTGCTGTTATGTACATATGAAAAAGGGGGGAATGAATTTGGGAAGCCAATGAATTGCTGTTATAATAGGCATCAAGAAATTTTAATAAGGGACTTATAAATTCAGAACTGTGTTTATGAGCATCTGTTGTGGCTCTGAAGGCATCAGTAGGGAAGAATATGGGGCAAAGGAGAGAAAGGGAAGTGGTAAGCATGACTATTTTCAAAAGGACAAGTAACAACCAAACATATCCACTGGTGTTAGCAACTAAAAAGATATTGGAATTGATTTTCAGGAAAACTGATTTCCAAGACCTATAAGATAAAGAAATCAACAGTATTTTGTCTGTGTGCTTGATCAAAGAGAAAACTAGGATTATTGGGGGGGGGGAAACACCTGTAGATATCACTGCTGGTATGAAACAAATCTGAAAGCTGTCAAAATGAACTTGGAGTTGCTTGTGCCAACTCTAAATAAAAGTAACTAAATGAATATGGAAAAATTAAATAATGCCTCAACGTTACAAAGAAAGGGTACTTTTTACATGGTTGCTTGGTAGTAATTGTCACAGAAGAATGCCAGAATTACAAGCTTGCACAGAGGCCATTAGGACTTTACACAAAAAATACTTATAAGAGAAATCAGTTCAGCCACTGTTCAACCTTGGACACACTACTTTGGTACTAAAGATTGTGGCCTACAGTTTTTAAGTAGCTGATGTAATCCTCTTTATTTTTGCCTTTTCTTCAGCTTCTTGGAATATTTCTATAGTTTACTATGACACAGATCATCCTATTGTACTGCTTTTCTTTCCAGTGCATCACTATCCATTGAAGAACCTGTCTCTTGCTGTTTTCACTTAGGTTAACAACGATTAAATGCTATGGCATGGTAAAGCAAATGCTAACAACAAAGAAGGGAAGGAATGGGTCTAACCCGAAGAAGGGCAGAAGAAGAGAAGCTACAAAAGAAAGCTAGCCCTCCAAAACAAGGAAATGATCACTGCTTTTCTTTTCCAGTAGAAGGCAAAAATTTCTAAGACTAGACATGCAATGTTCTCTTCTGATGTTTGGAGCAGTCACTTCACTGACGTTCTCCATTTCATTAGTCAATGTCATTCATCCACTTACCCCCCCCCCCCGCCCCCGAGCCTTTGCGTCTTCATCTCCAAGGTCTATAACAATTCCTGACATTAGTACTGGTCCTAAATAACTGACCAAAAGCAGAGAAGCAAATTGGGACATATATCCCTTGCTTTTCACAATTTGCAGTAACCTGTTCCTCAACTTGACGAAAACAGGACTGGAAGCAGCGCCTCTTCTTCTAAACCTAGAACTACCTGGCCTGCGGAATTGTAGAGAAGGTGGAACGCAGGCGCGGTGGAACCTGAAAGCCCCAGAGTCTGGGAGCCGCGGAAGCTTGGCCCGAGCCTGGGCTCCAGCGGAACCTGACAGCGGCGCCCGAGGAGCGACCCGGACAGTAGAGCGGAAGCACTTAGTCCGCCGCTTCCTGGTTCCGGGTGTGCACCGAGCGCTGCGGCCGCCGCCGCCGCCGCGATGTTACCCTACACCGTGAACTTCAAGGTGTCTGCGCGCACCCTTACGGGGGCCCTCAGCGGCCACAACAAGGCGGCGGTGGACTGGTGAGGGCGCCAGGACGGCCAGGCGGCCAGGAGTTTGTGAGGGGAAGGGGGAAGAGCAAGAGGTTTCACTCCCTGGCCAGTGTGGCCTGGCCACGCAGGGCGCCGCCCTCGCTCTACTCTGTTTTCTGTTAGCTGAAACACTTTGGTTGTCGTTATAAAAACAGCAAATGCCCCTGCGGAGAAGTCGCCGTGCAAAGACATTCGCCCGCCTGCTCCTGGATCCCGCTTCTGTTTTTCTCCACACCTCGTTCCTACCCCATGTCGCCCTCTCTCCAGCCTCCAGCCTTCTCTCCGTCCATTCTCAGTTCTCTGCCCTCTTTCTCTCTTTCACCCTTTCCCCCTCCTCCTCATAGTCTTGGTCCCACCTCTTTCCATTCAGCAGCGTTCCAGCCCTCCCTGTTCTGGCATCTACTTGCACTTTCACCTTGCTTCACCTTTTGTCTTTTCCTGGCTCCTGCGGAAGGCGCGCCAGTGCACCACAGGTCATCGCTGTTGTACCTTGTCTTTACGCTGTAAAATAAAATAACACAGCACCTCTGAAAACTAATAATGAGACTAATGCAAAACAAAGTTGTGAAGCTGTGTCGCTGGGAACGTTGCCAAGAGGACTGAAACCTCCTGTCCTGTGTTTGTCTTTTATGTGGTTAGGACTGGGACTTGTCACAAATGCTTGTCCTAGGTATATTGTGAATTCTAAGCATTGGAAGCTGAATAAGAAAATCAGACATATGCCTACAGTTAGTATAAGTTGTTTTATACATCTGCGTAGCTCCGTGTGCATATTCCTTAGAATCATTTTTATTTTATCCTCATGAAAACTTAAATTTCAAGTATTTGTAAGCCTAGCTAGAACTTTTTATTTTAATAGAATGTTACATGTGGGCCTTTGGGCTTAAATAATCATTTTATTAATGGTGTTGCATATGAATTGGATTAGATGGCAAGAGAAGCTGAGTCTTTGTTTTGTGTTTAAGTTTTAACATTGCTGTTTTGCTAGGGGCTGGCAAGGTTTAATTGCTTATGGATGTCATTCGCTTGTGGTAGTGATTGATTCCAATACTGCCCAAACTCTTCAAGTTTTAGAAAAACATAAAGCTGATGTTGTTAAGGTAAGTGAAATCCTAATTTGACCCCAGAACACCCCATCTAAAGTTTAGTATGTTAGATCTCGTTAAATCATACCTATAAATGTTAAGTAGCTTTTAAATATAATAAGTCAATTCAAAATGAGTTATTAAATGGTAGTTTTTAGGTCATGTTAAAGCTGTAGGGAAACATACCAGTTCTGCCATTTTGGGGGTCATTCATTCATTTATTAGTTTTGAGCACTTAGCACATACTATACTAAGGATATAAAGCCCTTAGGTGATTCATTGTCTAATATGGAGGATTCATAGTGTGAAAAGACGTGGTCAATAGGGTGTAGGAAAAAAAAAAAGCTATATAACACCTAGTTTTAGGGGCTAGGGGAGGATTACAGAAGTCTTTCCAGTTTAGGGACTGGTAAGCAGCCAAATAAAAAATCAGGGAACTCTTTTTTTTTTTTTTTTTTTGGCTCCTCAAATGCCTTCAGGGCACTTTTGGCGGGCTGGAGTGTTGTGGGGATCGAACTACAGCAACCTGAGGCTGACAGCTTTGTGGAAGCAGCCACTTAACTTAGCTAGGGCCAGGTCCCCAGGGAACATTTTTGCAGTGGAAATGAAGAATACTTATAACACAGTTATAAGTCATGAAGAAGACTAAAAACTAGGTATACTTGTAGAACTAACTGGGGAGGAAGCAACCCAAGAGACTGCTATGTTGAGAATTTTATAAGATCAGAAAGAAGTTTGGATGTTTAGGAGATTGATATAACTGTATTTGCATCTTCGAAAAACCTCTGTCAGCACTGGAGGATCTGTTGAAGAAAGGCAAGACTAAATACAGTTGAAATCCTTTAGGAGACTTTTGCAATAGTTTTGGCAGGAAATCCTAAGGTCTAAAGATGAGGCTGAGGCATGGAGGAATCATATTTAGAAGCTGTAAGAGGTAAACCAGTGGCCTTTATTTGAGAATAGAATGGCTTAAGATTTCTGTTCAAGTAACTGAATAATTGTAGTTGTGATGCATAAATGGGAAGGCAGTGCATTTAAATTTTCAATATGCAAAGATTAAGTCTTCTATGATATATTTTATTATAATCCAAGGTTTAAGAGAAGTCAGGATTGGACATAGACATTTGGGATCTTTTTCTTAAATAGCTTTTAAAAAGTAGGTCATATAGTTCAGCCACTTAAAGTACACAGTTGTATGGTTTTTAGTAGCTATCACAATAATCAGTCTCATCACCTCCAAAAGATAATTGCACCTGTTAGCAGTCACCTTCCATTTCCCCACTCCCTTCATCTCTGGCAGCTCTGAATCCTTTGTCTCTGTTGATTTGCCTATTCAGGAAATTGTATCTAACTGGAATCATATAATATCTGAGTTCTTGTGCTGTGTTTCTTGTATTTAGTAAATGTTTTTTAGTTTCATCCCTCTGGGAGCTCTTTCATTTTTATTGCTAAACAGTATCCCACTGTAAGAATATATCAGGTGACTTTGTTTATAAGCATCTGAGTATCAGTTTGAGCTGTTATAAATAATGCAGCTAGGAACAGTACTGTAAAGTTTGTGTATGAATCCGTGTTTTTATTTTTCTTGGATATGTATGTCTAACAGTGAAATTACTGACTCATGGAAACTGTTTAACTTTTGAGGAACTACCAGACTGTTCTCCAAACTTTACCTCTTCATCAGCAGTATCATCATGTTCTTCAAATCATCAACACTCATTGTTCTCTGTCTTTGATTATTACCATATTAGTAGGTGTGAAGTGGTTTCTCCTTTTTATTGAGTTGTAGGATTTATTATAAATACAAATCCTTTATCATATCTATGCTTTGCAAATATTTTTTCATTCTGTGGGTTTTCTTTTCACTGTCTTGATGGTATACATTCAATAAGCTAATAATTTTGATCTGTAATTTATTTTTGCAACTAAAACTTTTACTGTTTTCACACTTTTATATAGGTCCTTAATCCGTTCTGAGTTAATTTTTATACGTGGTAAGAGGTGGAGAAAAGTACAGTTGATTTTTGTATTTGTATAGTCACCAGTGTCCTATGATCTCACAAGACTTACTTATTAGTTCTAGTAATTCGGGGGGGAATTTTTCTACAAAGATGATCATGTCACCTGCAATATTGTAGTTTGATTTTTTGGTTGATAATTGATATTTGTTCAATTTTTTCTGGTTGTATTGTATTATAACAGAACTCATGTTATATTGAATGGCAGTGGTGATAGGATATTTTTCATTTTATTCTAAATGTTTAGGGGAAGTACTTAGTCTCCTCATAAAGTCCAATATAAGGCAGAGTAGAGGTTTTTATTTATGAAAGTATATATTTACTCTATGTTGCTTTTCTTGCCCATAAAATTTCTAGAGTTTTCATTTCCTTGTGTAAAGTTTCAGACTGGATTACACTTCCTTTTCCTGAGGGTTTACTATGAAGTCTTAAAGTACATATTTTGGTTAATTTTTCTTAGCTTTATTTGTCATAGAAAGTATTTTATCTTTGTTTTTGAAAGATTTTCTCAAAAGATGTAAAATGCTGAGTTGGCAGTTTTATTTCCTAGCAGTTGTCTTCTAGATTACCTAATCTCTGATAAATTCTCCTTCTAGGTTTTTTTATATGCAGTTGTATTTTTTTTTTTCCCTTTGGGTACCTTCTAGATTTTCTCTTTATGTTTGGTTTTTCAGCAGCTTAATTATGATGTGAAGATGACTTTTTTTCTTCAATATACATTGATTAGAGTTTACATAAATGGAATTTACACACATATATACATATACATATACATATACATACACCATTTCTTGTCATTTAAAGTAGATATAGTCTTAAAATCACTATAAACATTAACTTAGTGAGTACAGAAAGATTGTTTAATCCTACCATTTAGGTTCCTATGAGTCTCTGGTCATAGCATTTTAATCAACTCATCAACACATAGCCTTGTTTTATATATGTTTCTGCTTAAAAACAGTTTATTTAATATATATAGTTGATTTATTAACATTGAATTTGTGACCAACTACACATGCCTGAGCTAAGCTGTCACATAAATTTTCTTTTTGGTAGGGCACATTAAACATTTCAGTAGACAACACCGGGTTTGGAGACTATTTCTAACCATGAAGTCACCAATCAAAAGCCCCCAAGTCCAAAAGCCATGTATAATAGAGCTGTGAAGTGGACCCTTGTGTGTTGTGTGGGAGCTAAGTAAGAGCATCTCATTTGCCCTCAGTTGGATGTCTCGGAGTTTTCACCACTCTGCTTGACTTGAAATGCTCTGAAAATACTAGTTTTGAAATTACAAATAAGTATAGTGAGTAGGCAAATTCCCATGTGCAGAATCTGCAAACAATGAGAGCTGATTCATAGTGTACATGTATACACATAAACATCTATACATTAAAATATATACACGTATGAACACACACATGCATACACACACTTTATTAAAAAGATTTTCTTTTCCTGAGGGGATTATTGTGCTAAAACCTTAAGAGTTAGTAACATTGAGGCTGGAGAAATTTTTGTTTATTTTTTTTCATAAATACTGTTTGTTTTTTACTAGAGCATTATATATGTATATGTACATGTGGTTATTTGTATGCGTACTTAAAGATTTTGTGGTATTTATCTATTAAACATACTAAAAAAAAATCATACAAATGCACCATTTTTGGACACTATACACTAGTCCTGGACTAAAAGTGTAAACAAAGCCTATATGATCTATGCTGTAGAACTTATAGTCTATGGTTGATTGTAAGTTTAAAAAAAAAGTGAAATAATTACACATTGTATAATAAAATTCTTTAAAGAAAATAAACAAGATGTTGAGACAGAAGAAAGTGATGGTAGTAACCAGCGTAAAAGTGAGAAGGGGAGTGAGTAGCCAGGAGAAGGCTTTGCCCATGGTAAAGACTATGTGACTTACCTCTCACTTTGTGAGTATTCATGAATCAGATTTAGGGCCCGCCAAATAGCTCAGCAGATTAAAGCGCCTGCTTAAGCAGATGCAGGGGTCAGGAGTTTGATCCCTGGGCCTGCTGTGCCAGCTCTGCCCCTGGGCCTCCCTGAGACAGCAGTTGAGACTGGGCATGGTGGTGCACACCTGTAATCCCACCACTGTAAACAGGAGGATCACTGCGAGTCTGATCTGTGCAGTGAGACCCTGAACACGCTGTACACCCTTGTCCTAAATACAAAAAAAAAAAAAAAAAAAAATCAGATTAACCCTGTAGTTCTGATAAAATTCTGTTTTAAAAATTCTAAATGTTGGAGATATGAAGCATACTTTTTGGGGAGAGAAAAAAATACTTTAAAGAGGGAGGCATAGCTTGAGTCTTTTGTTTGCTTTTTTCCCTCCATTTTTCCTTATACAAGTTTGTGTATGTATGTGTGCATTTGTGCATGTATGTGTGACTAAGCTGTCTCCTTTTAATTATGAGAACAAAGTACAGAAGAATATTTTCTTTAGCAATATTATAATTTTAAATGTTTTGTCACAATTACATTTAGGAAAGCTAAATGTAATTTAAGCTCAGCCACTTACAGTACACAGTTGTGTGGTTTTTAATAGCCATCACAATAATCAGTCTCATCACCTCCAAAAGATAATTGCACCCATCAGCAGCTATTGTGGTATCTTAGGATATTGTGGAGTTTTTTCAACAAACTATTACTCTTTTTTTACCAAAAGGTTGGCTTTTTTTTAACCTGAATATCCCAAAATATTAAGACTGCACATCATTTTTTTTTTTTACATTTTAAAGATAGGGGCCTTGTGATATTTTCAAAAATACTTTTTTTTTTTTATTTTTATTTCTTCTTTTGAGTTCTTACACTAGGGAGACTATACAATATTTATACGTGTAGGTCTGGTTTATGTCACTTACAAGTATATCTTCAAGTTGCATCCACTTATATATGAAGGCTTTGAGTTGATCGTTCTTTATAGCTGAGTAATACTCCATTATATAAAAAACACCACAACTTTTTCATCCATTCCTCAGGTGATGGGCATTTTGGTTGCTTCCAAGATTTGACTGTCATAAGTTGTGCTGCTATACACACACACACACACACACACACACAAATTAGTTAGGTTAGATATATAGCTACTTTCTCTTAATTCAATGAGAAGAGAGATTTGTACTAATAATGTTTAGACAAGATATCATGTCTGCATCTTGTACTATGAATAACTACTATGAAGACAACAACGTGCAATGTATTAATTATTATAACTCCTACTAACCTGTTTTGAAACTGTGTCATTGCTATTTCTTTCTCAATAAAATTAATTTTAAAAACAATGTTTTTAATATCGTAAGTGATAAAACATTTACTTTCAACATGAATTTCCATTCTATTCATGCTAAAACTTTAATGATATGAGTGTAATATGGGTTTTGGTTGATGTTTTGTGAAAATGATGTTTAGTTTTACCAGTACAAATATTTACTGATTGCATTTCTTTTTAACACTAGGTTAAATGGGCGAGGGAAAACTATCACCATAACATTGGCTCACCGTATTGCTTGCGCCTCGCTTCTGCTGATGTCAATGGGAAGATCATCGTTTGGGATGTGGCAGCCGGAGTGGCTCAGTGTGAGATCCAAGAGCACGCCAAGCCTATCCAGGGTGAGGCAAGAGCTCTGTGCAGGGGCCTGCTGATGTGCTTCCTCTCAGATTGCCCACTCCGTTGATTTAATTTGGTTTCCAGTGATAACTGTTAAATATTTTAGCATTCTATGGCTCTATGTCAATTTTTTTTCTTATCTGTACACTTCTGGATGTGTTTCCTGAAATTGTGCTTTGATAAAACCATTATCAGTATTAGGCATAAGAAAATTAAGCCACTTAAGCGGTCTTAAAGTCTAAGCTGTGGTGTGACTAAACTTGGTTGAAATGCCATTGTCAATTAGCTGACAGTGCTTGCTTTGTGTTGATAGAGATGAACAAAAATTTTATTCTTTTCATATAAATTGTTTCCTTCTGTATGTAACTCTTAGAACCAATTTTGCTTTCTCTAGACAGAAGTCTTTGAGAAGCTCCCTTAACTAAATGAACTTTTAAATGATGGTTTTAAGGATACTTATTGAATGCTTTCTATTTGCTAGGTACTGCACTATCTTCTATTTATGATTTTGAAAACCTTCATTGTCTTAGTGATTCCACAAAGCACTGGGCGAGTGTAACACCTTGATCATGTCTAAGCAAGTCTTACATACTGATTTTATAGTATTTTGTTTTTGCTTTTTTTCTCCCCTCTACTGGAGAAGAACCCAGAGCCTTGTGCCTGCTAGACATGGCTACCACTGAACCATGCTCCCAGCCCCTGACTTTTATGCTTTTAAGTAGTGAGCACTAGTAGTATAAGTTGTCTTATATTTTTTTTAAAGTTCTATTTTAGATTACTTGAGATTTTAACCAAAGAGCTCATTAATTTTTTTTATTTATACTTTCTTTTCAGATGGGCATCTCACTAGTTTGCTTAGGTTGGCTTTAAACTCACAATCTTCTTGCATCTCCTCCCAAAGTAGCTGAGATGACAGACATACGCCACTGCACCCAACACAGATAATTTATTTTTATTTGTTCATTTTCCCTTTCTAATTTTTTTTTTTTCCCCAGAACCGGGGAATGAACTCAGGACCTTGCGTTTGCCAGGCAAGCGCTTATTCTACTGAGCTGTCTCCCTGGCCTCCCTTTCCAATATTGAAAAATACATATATATATATATATATATATATATCATAATGGGACAGGTTAATATTTTAAGGATTATATTTTAAAGACCAGGTACCAGGGACAGGTGAGCCAAATGCTTTGAAGTAGATGTTCTCTGAGTTTCTCCCTTATCTGTGCTTTATAGATGTTCAGTGGTTGTGGAATCAAGATGCTTCCCGAGATTTGCTGCTTGCTATCCACCCACCAAATTACATTGTGCTCTGGAATGCGGATACCGGCACCAAACTGTGGAAGAAAAGCTATGCAGATAACATTCTTTCTTTTTCTTTTGATCCATTTGATCCCTCACATTTAACTTGTAAGTAAAGATTCCTGTAGGAAAATGAGTTAAATTAGATACTAATATAGTGCACATATCTATAACATCTGCAATGTTAAAATGACTGAAAAGTAGGAAAAGCACATCTTGTCTATATAACTGCAGGTCCTGAATTCTGTATCTTAATCCTCCATCATTTGCACATATCTTCATAGTTAGAAATTTAAGCCCAGCAAGGCATGCCTTCATTATGTTGAATTTGTGAATAGTATTAGTACAGCTAGAGACAGAAAGTTACTGTGATATGCAAATTAAGGTTTAATTAAATTTGATTTTCTAAGAACATTTAAAGAATTTGAATCAGTAACTTGATTTGAAGAACTTTAATCATTTAGCCTGTGATCAAATGAAGTTTTTGCTTTTTATTTTATTTTTTTAATTTTTTAAATTTTTTTATTTTTATTTATTTATTTATTTTTTACCTACTTCAAAAATATTTAATCTCACAGGATGGAAAATACAGAATAAATTACAGATTTCCAGATGCATATGAATTACTAAAGGTGAATCATGAAAATACAAAAATTCAGAGTAACTCAAAATCAATGAAACTGAAAATGTAATTAAGATCTCATTGTATTGGACTAGAATTTTTAAGGATTTTCTTCATTCCATGACTTCTCCTAACCTTCTGCAGAACTCTGGAGCAGAGATTTCAAAGCATGTTTTGCACATTTCAAGGTTATATCTTGCTGAATAGATTTCTGTCTT